TCTGATGCCACATGTATGTATTATATACAGACTTATCTACATGTTTTTTAGTCTATCTGCTTACTTACGCAAGGATTGGTGGCAGGTATACATACATATATATATATATATATATATATATATATATATATATATATATATATATATATATATATATATATATATATATATATATATGTCGTACCTAGTAGCCAGAACGTACTTCTCGGCCAACTATGCAAGGCCCGATTTGCCTAATAAGCCAAGTTTTCCTGAATTAATATATTTTCTCTAAATTTTTTCTTATGAAATGATAAAGCTATCCATTTCATTATGTATGAGGTCAATTTTTTTTTATTGGAGTAAAAATTAACGTAGATATGTGACCGAACCTAACTAACCCTACCTAACCTAACCTAACCTATCTTTATAGGTTAGGTTAGGTTAGGAAGCCGAAAAAGTTAGGTTAGGTTAGGTTAGGTAGGTTAGGTATTCGAAAAACAATTAATTCACGAAAACTTGGCTTATTAGGCAAATTGGGCCTCGCATAGTAGGCTGAGAAGGGCGTTCTGGCTACTAGGTACGACATATATATATATATATATATATATATATATATATATATATATATATATATATATATATATATATATATATATATATTTATATCACCTTCGTTATGTACATAGATTATATAATTTCAGGTGCATTGCATTGTGCTTTTGAAAAATATGTACCGTGTCGTTCTTGCTGGATATTATAAGAGATTAACGAATACATTTGTTTGGAAGCGAGGTTGAAAATATTTTAGTTTTTCACTGAAAAGTATTCATGAAAAGCGTTTTATTCTGTAATTACAGAATGATGGTGCTAGAGAATTGCTCAGTATTATTTGCCTTTGTGTTTAATTATCAAAGGTAGATTTTCGTGATTAAATATTATACTACGTTGGACCAGATGCTACAATCGGTTTTGTTTAGTTATGTATGTTATTTATTTAGGTATTTGTCTGTGATGTAATATATTGTTTACTCAACTAGTTTTATTCACCTTGTAGTGCTTCGGCTCCTTGGACCCACCTCTCATCCATCAATCAATCGGTGTACAGGTTTTTGTGCCTATTGGGTTCAATCATATCTACATTAGAGTCTGTGCATGGAGTATATCTTCACCACATTGCAACCTAATGCATTCCATTTGTTATCTAACCTGACACTGACAAAATTTCTTTCTTATATCTCTATTGATTTTTTGGGTACTACGATTCCACCTGTTTCACCTTCGTGTAACATATGTGCTAGTTTGTTTTTATCTACCCTTTATATTCCTATGGACGGTAGAGGGACGGTCTGGCTCCATGCAGGTCGGTATTTAATTCCCAACCGTCCAAGTGGTTGGGCACCATTCCTTTCCCCCGTCCTATCACAAATCGATATCCTGACCCCTTCTCAGTCATATATAGTCGTAATGGCTTAGTGCTTTCTATTGATAATTCCCTTCCCCCTGTCTATTCCTCTGTGAAGCAAATCTCTCTTAAACTCTTCTGTCTGCCACTGATGTGAGATATATTTCCCCTAGCCTTTCCTCGTAATTCATACCTCTTAGCTCTGGGACTATTCTGGTGACATTCATCTAAACTTTATAACTTTAGCTTTTCTGTGAATACGTATGGACTCCAAACTGGAGCCGCATATTCCAGGATTGGTCTGACGTATGTGGTATACATTGTTCTGAATGATTCCTTACACATGATTCTAAAATCAATTCTTATGCTGGCCAACCCAGCATTGGCCGCTGATGATATCATTTTGACGTGGAATTCAAGGGACAGGTTCGGCGTGATATCAACCCCACTGATCTATTTATCAACCTAATTCTTGAGGGAATTCATCTTCAATTTGGTGTATATTATTAAATTTGGTGTACGTCCTCTTACAAATTACATCTGAATTTGGCCGTTTGCTCGTATGGCCGAAAAGGTACGTAATTTGAAAATTTAATTTTTCTAAATATATATTGGATTTGTTTGTTTGTTTCCAAAACAGCATGTTAAGGATCTTCTGGTAGGTTAGGAGGGCAGGAAATTCTTCTAAAATTTCAGAACGTCATGTAAAACGTTAATTGAAAGTTTCCTTCCAAATGTTAACCAGTAAGCCAGAGGACTCCAAAAGAAAATTTGACAGTGCATCAGTTTCGTGAGCCGAGTTCATTTAAAATTACGTTCATTTTTGGCTATAGTCCGCATACGAGCGAGAAGCGAAGTTATTTTTGAGAGGATGGGGTTGTTCCTGCTCCCAACACCTAGTTTGACGAATTTACATCTGAGTTAATCTCTAGTTGAAATTTGTTGAGCTATTCCTTTAAATGATTCAGGTCATCCTGCACTCTCTTCCAACCTTCTTCTCTTTTTTATCTCTCTCCCTTAACCCTTCTTATTTTTTGGTTGCCTGGTCATGGAATTTTTTAAACATGGGAGGCACGATTCACCATCCCTGAACCCATCCCCTACGATCACCCCCTAAACGATCGCACATGTTAGACTCAGTGCGGCCCGTGCATGCGCCAGAATTTGATGAAAAACTGTACACAAATGGATCCATGAGTGTCGTCGGGGGTTGATCAGTCAGGGAGCTTAGTTAATAAGCGCTATGACTGACCAATCCTTATGACGATCATTGGTGCGGTGGTAACGGTACTGTGTCCGTTTAGGGGGTGATCCTGGACAGCATGGGTTCGAATCCTGGCCGGGTCAAAGAGTTCTTAGTGATATATGGCTTGCGCGTTCATGCAACTTTCTCACACACACACACACACACACATATATATATATATATATATATATATATATATATATATATATATATATATATATATATATATATATATATATATATATATATATATATCCATTACAAATTATTTTTATTAGAAACATGCAATAATTACAAAATAAATGCTTCTATACCTCCCCCATTCAGATTTATAGCGCCTCCTCGACCCAGGATAGTGACGAAGTGACCGCGAGCCTCCCTCACCTTCCTAGCAAAGGACGCCATAATCAACTTAGACAACAAAGTCACTCTATAGATCAGGCCATGACCTCCATTTACAGCCGCATCAGAGAAGCAACCTCGACCACCTGTCAAATGTCAACTACAAAGACGTACAGCAATACAGTCCCACCTGGAAAATCAGGAGGAAAATGACCGAATGTTAAGAAGTCCGCCTCCGTCACCAGCGAAAAGAGCACCTACCAGCCTTTTTCGCCCCATCTTCCTCCTGGAAACGATAAGTAAATATTTCGAAAAAAAAAATCAAGTTGCATTTATTATATGTAATATAACAACTTTTCCATAGAAAACCAGTTTGGATTTAGGAGCCACCGATCAACCCCGCACGCGATCAGTACCATATAACCCGCTGTTCCAACTATCCGTCAACAGAACCATATTGCATTAAGAGGAGGTTATAGTTGTGTGTGTGAATGAAGTCTTCGACAGATGTGAATGAGGCCTTCGACAGCCTCTGACACGACTTCTTGTGTACATACTTGTTGACACCCCAGCCCAAAACCTGTTACCTCCTTCAACTAATAAGGAACTTCTTGAAAAAAACAGCCGGATTGCTGCATGCTTTAGCCGTAAATACACCTTCAATCTAACAGCTAGTGTTCCACAAGGCTCTTGTCTAAGCCCAGTATTAAACAACATTTTTTATTGACGACGTCTCTCAACCCAAGTACATACACACTGTCATCAACCAGCATGCAGACGACGTCACCCGCGCCATAACGTCCTCCCCCAAGGGTTACCTTGAGGTGCTTCCGGGGCTTAGCGTCCCCGCGGCCCGGTCGTCGACCAGGCCGGTGCAAACAAACACGCCACAATCACTAGACAAGTGAATGTAGAGTTCTCCCTAACAAGACACTGAGCAAGAAAATTGTGGGTTACCTGGACCCCGGAATAGATTCACATTAGCACAATTGGATGTATATCATATATAATAGAAAACGAAGGAGGGGTTCAGAATCAGGCGAGTGCCAATAGCCATTACAAATTCCAATACCGTTCTTGGCGGCAACTTCAACAGACTCCTAAACTCAACCCAATACGTCTCGGAAAAAAAACGGAATTAGCAAGAAGTTCCATGGCGAGGCTCGACCGGTCCAGACAAGTTCCAACTCAAGTAATGCTCCACCAATACAAAATGGTCATTAGACCAATACTGGAATACCAACACGTCCCTCCTCCACAGTACCACCAATACCAACAAGTTGAAGATCCAGCGAATCCAAAAATTGCAGACTATTAGCACCAGACTCAGCCAACCCAGGAAAACAATCCTACAGTATGATACACCATTATATTCTAAATAGAAAGACCCCATATTGAAGGGAAGGGAACTATCAGGAGCTCCAGCTTACACTGGAGCGTGACAGCTCAAGACTGGAGCGTGACAGCTCAAGACTGGAGCGTGACAGCTCACAATGGAGCGTGACAGCTCAAGACTGGAGCGTGACAGCTCAAGACTGGAGCGTGACAGCTCAAGACTGGAGCGTGACAGCTCAACACTGGAGCGTGACAGCTCAACACTGGAGCGTGACAGCTCAACACTGGAGCGTGACAGCTCAACACTAGAGCGTGACAGCTCAACACTGGAGCGTGACAGCTCAACACTGGAGCCTGACAGCTCAACACTGGAGCGTGACAGCTCACACTGGAGCGTGACAGCTCAACACTGGAGCGTGACAGCTCAACACTAGAGCGTGACAGCTCACACTGGAGCGTGACAGCTCAACACTGGAGCCTGACAGCTCAACACTGGAGCGTGACAGCTCAACACTGGAGCGTGACAGCTCAACACTGGAGCCTGACAGCTCAACACTGGAGCCTGACAGCTCACACTGGAGCGTGACACGTCAGAGCCAATTAAGAACAAATTTCCTTTATCAATGTACATTCTTCCTAGAAAATGGACACTTTACAGTGTGTGGAGATATTACATGGGGTGAAGATAGTACAATGGGTGAAGATAGTACAATGGGTGAAGATAGTACAATGGGTGAAGATAGTACAATGGGTGAAGATAGTACAATGGGTGAAGATAGTATAAGGGGTGAAGATAGTACAATGGGTGAAGATAGTACAATGGGTGAAGATAGTACAATGGGTGAAGATAGTACAATGGGTGAAGATAGTACAATGGGTGAAGATAGTACAATGGGTGAAGATAGTACAATGGGTGAATATAGTACAATGGGTGAAGATAGTATAAGGGGTGAAGATAGTACAATGGGTGAAGATAGTACAATGGGTGAAGATAGTACAATGGGTGAAGATAGTACAATGGGTGAAGATAGTACAATGGGTGAAGATAGTACAATGGGTGAAGATAGTACAATGGGTGAAGATAGTATAAGGGGTGAAGATAGTACAATGGGTGAAGATAGTACAATGGGTGAAGATAGTACAATGGTGAAGATAGTACAATGGGTGAAGATAGTACAATGGGTGAAGATAGTACAATGGGTGAAGATAGTACAATGGGTGAAGATAGTATAAGGGGTGAAGATAGTACAATGGGTGAAGATAGTACAATGGGTGAAGATAGTACAATGGGTGAAGATAGTACAATGGGCGAAGATAGTACAATGGGTGAAGATAGTACAATGGGTGAAGATAGTATAAGGGGTGAAGATAGTACAATGGGTGAAGATAGTACAATGGGTGAAGATAGTACAATGGGTGAAGATAGTACAATGGGTGAAGATAGTACAAGGGGTGAAGATAGTACAATGGATGAAGATAGTACAATGGGTGAAGATAGTATAAGGGGTGAAGATAGTACAATGGGTGAAGATAGTACAATGGGTGAAGATAGTACAATGGGTGAAGATAGTACAATGGGTGAAGATAGTACAAGGGGTGAAGATAGTACAATGGGTGAAGATAGTACAATGGGTGAAGATAGTACAATGGGTGAAGATAGTACAATGGGTGAAGATAGTACAATGGGTGAAGATAGTACAATGGGTGAAGATAGTACAATGGGTGAAGATAGTACAATGGGTGAAGATAGTACAATGGGTGAAGATAGTACAATGGGTGAAGATAGTACAATGGGTTAAGATAGTACAATGGGTGAAGATAGTACAATGGGTGAAGATAGTACAATGGGTGAAGATAGTACAATGGGTTAAGATAGTACAATGGGTGAAGATAGTACAATGGGTGAAGATAGTACAATGGGTGAAGATAGTACAATGGGTGAAGATAGTACAATGGGTTAAGATAGTACAATGGGTGAAGATAGTACAATGGGTGAAGATAGTACAATGGGTGAAGATAGTACAAGGCGTGAAGGTAGTACAAGGAGGGAAGATAATGATGCGCACATCACGTAACACTCGGCGCGTGAAGGAGAAGAACGATCTGGAGAAAAGTAAAGACTACGGGCTCACCATAGCCCGTGCTACTTGGAACTATTTGTTCCGGGTGGCGAATATTAAACAGCAACAACAACAGATCAAGAGAAAGCGCCAAGCCATTACGACTTTATAGACCTGGAAGAAATAACCGATTTAGGACAGACCGGGATTCGACCGGGGTGGGGTGGGGGAGTTAAGGAATGTTGCCCAACCACTTGGACGGAAGGAGATTGAACGCCGTTCCACATGAAACTAGACCGTCGCTCTACCGTCCAACCCCAAACGGTTGGACTCTGCGCTTGAGATGCAGTTTTGGGACAAGTATCTATAAGGATAATTTTCAGACACTGCAATTTAATTGTCTAACTGTGGTGGTAATCATTCGCCTCTGACCTGCATGATATTATTTTATAATTATAATTTTCTACCACAGACGTGGCCACACATTTCCAATGCTAATCAACATATATTTATTTTCTTCAGTCCTCCATGGAGAGGGTAGATATATTAAATATATCTGCATGATTGTTGTTGTTTTAGATTCAGCTACTCGGAACAAAAAGTTCCAAGTAGCACGGGCTATGGTGAGCCCGTTGTGAACTTACCTGGCCCAGGAGCGGGGCTGCATCTTGTGATCTGCCCGAGGTGTGGAGTGTCTTAAATCCTCTCTGGTGAGGTGAGGAGTATCGTAACCCTTCCCTAGTGACGTGAGGAGTATCGTAACCCTTCCCTAGTGAGGTGAGGAGTATCGTAACCCTTCCCTAGTGACGTGAGGAGTATCGTAACCCTTCCCTAGTGACGTGAGGAGTATCGTAACCCTTCCCTAGTGACGTGAGGAGTATCGTAACCCTTCCCTAGTGAGGTGAGGAGTATCGTAAACCTCCGTTGTGTGGGTCTGAGTGTTTGAAACATCATGAAATTATTGAATATTTAATAATTGTGTTCAATGTTAAATAATCAGTTGTTCAGACTGACGAAGAAAGAGATGTACGGACCTCATGTTGAGGTCGACACGTTTTCAGGTAAATATTAACTGGCTAGTTTTCCTTTTGTTATATAATTATTGAATTCTTCTGTTTCAGTAAAATAATTAGAGACGTCTTTTCTTCTTGTAAAATTATCGGTGGGTGGTTCTCTCCCAGCTCATTTATCAGTAAATTATTTTCTTTATGTTCAATAAGGGAAGAATTGAAAACTAAAATGAAAATTGGGTTATTCTCTGTTAAACAATCATTGATTTTTTCTCCTTTCACTGTTCAAAAACAATATTTTTGTTCTTTTGATAAGAATTTATTTTTTTTCTAATTGTTCTATAATCACTGGATTTTACTGTCATACTTGAGGTGTCTTTGCCTTATCCTTATATAACGAATGTCATATATGCTGACTGCCGCGGTTTTTCAGATTCCTGAGAAAATTTTGAATCATCGTTTCTTAAAAGCAGAGGAATGTCGTCTCTCTCTCTCTCTCTCTCTCTCTCTCTCTCTCTCTCTCTCTCTCTCTCTCTCTCTCTCTCTCTCTCTGACTCTCCTTCCCTTTTCCGGTTAACTGAATAATCCTGCCTTCCCTCACTGCTTCGTCCTTGACTACAAGGATGAGGTAATCAGGAGAGTCTCTGAACACGACAAAGGACAGGTTATGGGAGAAATATGAGGGAGTTTTGCCTGTGTGTTGAGGAACACGCTTGTCAACTCTCGTTTTTTCCTCCTGATAAAAGATAGCTGGTGGCGCCAAGGGGGTGTTGTTGGGGGGGGGGGGAAAGTGGTGTGAGAGTGAGGGGGGGAGACGAGCAGTAACTGGTCTAGACCTGGTTGTATGGTTGTTTAGTGGGACTGAGTTCTATTAATAAAATAAGAATGTTTGTTGTTACCTGCTCGTGTTAGTTCTTTAAAGCAGAGGTTCTCAACTAGTTGACTACGAGCCAAAATTGTTCTCTCTTCTGTCTATGTCTTTTAACCGTTTCCGCTGATAGTTTGGATCATACATACTAGGGTACCCCTTGGATCATACACACTAGGGTGCCGCTGGGATCATACAAACTAGGGCGTCCCATGGATCATACACACTAGGGTGCCCCATGGATCATACACGCTAGGGTGCCGCTTGGATCATACACACTAGGGAACCCCTTGGATCATACACACTAGGGTGCCGCTGAGATCATACAAACTATGGCGTCCCATGGATCATACACACTAGGGTGCCCCTTGGATCATACACGCTAGGGTGCCGCTTGGATCATACACACTAGGGTGCCCCTTGGATCATACACACTAGGGTGCCCCTTGGATCATACACACTAGGGTGCCCCTTGGATCATACACACTAGGGTGCCCCTTGGATCATACACACTAGGGTGCCGCTTGGATCATACACACTAGGGTGCCCCTTGGATCATACACACTAGGGTGCCCCTAGGATCATACACACTATGGTGCCCCTTGGATCATACACACTTGGGTGCCCCATGGATCATACACACTAGGGTGCCCCTTGGATCATACACACTAGAGTGCCGCTTGGATCATACACACTGGGGTGCCCCTTGGATCATACACACTTGGGTGCCCCATGGATCATGCACACTAGGGTGCCCCTTGGATCATACACACTAGGGTGCCCCTTGGATCATACACACTAGGGTGCCCCTAGGATCATACACACTAGGGTGCCACCTTGGATCAGACACACTAGGGTGCCCCCTTGGATCATACACACTATGGTGCCCCTTGGATCATACACACTAGGGTGCTCCTTGGATCATACACACTAGGGTGCCCCTTGGATCATACACACTAGGGTGCCGCTTAGATCATACACACTAGGGTGCCGCTTGGATCATACACACTAGGGTGCCCCTTGGATCATACATACTAGGGTGCCGCTTAGATCATACACACTATGGTGCAGCCCTTGGATCATATATACTAGGGTGCCCCTTGGATCATACACACTAGGGTGCCGCTTAGATCATACACACTAGGGTGCCGCTTAGATCATACACACTAGGGTGCCGCTTGGATCATACACACTAGGGTGCCCCTTGGATCATACACACTAGGATGCCCCTTGGATCATACATACTATGGTGCAGTCCTTGGATCATACACACTAGGGTGCCCCTTTGGATCATACACACTATGGTGCAGCCCTTGGATCATACACACTATGGTGCAGTCCTTGGATCATACACACTAGGGTGCCCCTTTGGATCATACACACTATGGTGCAGCCCTTGGATCATACACACTAGGGGACCGCTTGGATCATACACACTAGGGTGCCCCTTGGATCATACACACTAGGGTGCCCTTTGGATCATACACACTAGGGTGCCGCTTGGATCATACACACTAGGGTGCCGCTTGGATCATACACACTAGGGGACCGCTTGGATCATACACACTAGGGTGCCCCTTGGATCATACACACTAGGATGCCCCTTGGATCATACACACTAGGGTGCCCTTTGGATCATACACACTAGGGTGCCACTTGGATCATACACACTAGGGTGCCGCTTGGATCATACACACTAGGGGACCGCTTGGATCATACACACTAGGGTGACCCTTGGATCATACACACTAGGGTGCCGCTTGGATCATACACACTAGGGGTGCCGCTTGGATCATACACACTAGGGTGCCGCTTGGATCATACACACTAGAGTGCCCTTGGATCATACACACTAGGGGTGCCGCTTGGATCATACACACTAGGGTGCCGCTTGGATCATACACACTAGGGTGCCCCCTTGGATCATACACACTAGGGTGCCCCTTGGATCATACACACTAGGGCGCCCCTTGGATCATACACACTAGGGCGCCCCTTGGATCATACACACTAGGGTGCCGCTTGGATCATACACACTAGGGTGCCCCTTGGATCATACACACTAGGGTGCCCCTTGGATCATACACACTAGGGTGCCCCTTGGATCATACACACTAGAGCCCCAACTTGGAACATCCTCCTGAGAGAGCACCAGTGGTTCATGATTCACCATTTAAGAACATGAGAAGGTGAGTGAGTGCTGGTGAGTGCTTATCTGTATGTTGTGGTTTTGTGGTGCATTATGGTGGCTGTATGGTGCACTGTGGTGGCTGTATGGTGCACTGTGGTGGCCGTATGGTGCACTGTGGTGGCTGTGGTGGCTGTATGGTGCACTGTGGTGGCTGTATGTACTGTGGTGGTGAGTGCTTATCTGTATGTTGTGGGTATTTGTGGTGCATTATGGTGGCTGTATGGTGCACTGTGGTGGCTGTATGGTGCACTGTGGTGGCTGTATGGTGCACTGTGGTGGCCGTATGGTGCACTGTGGTAGCTGTATGGTGCACTGTGGTGGCTGTATGGTGCACTGTGGTGGCCGTATGGTGCACTGTGGTGGCTGTATGGTGCACTGTGGTGGCTGTATGGTGCACTGTGGTGGCTGTATGGTGCACTGTGGTGGCTGTATGGTGCACTGTGGTGGCCGTATGGTGCACTGTGGTGGCTGTATGGTGCACTGTGGTGGCTGTATGGTGCACTGTGGTGGCTGTATGGTGCACTGTGGTGGCCGTATGGTGCACTGTGGTGGCTGTATGGTGCACTGTGGTGGCTGTATGGTGCACTGTGGTGGCTGTATGGTGCACTGTGGTGGTTGTATGGTGCACTGTGGTTGTATGGTGCATTATTTTAGCTGTATGGTGCACTGT